GGTAATAAAATTCAATGATTTGCAAGCGTTGCTCGTTAGTAAGTCTATTCATGATGAAATGTCAAAGCATACTGAGCATCTTTCTCTTTGACACCATGTCTGAAATCCCACGTGATCTGTCAAATACTAATGCATGAAAATCCTAACCTCAAAAAAATCACCCGTTACCTATGCAAGAGCTTTGGTTCAATAAGTAAGAGAGGCAAATCAAATTTCTCAAATAAGTGTCAAGAGGAAGAATAAGTGTCAAAAGAATTAATACCCAGACGTTTCTTTATTTATAATTTCATTACCAAATTTTTCTTTTTATTTTTAAGTACAGTTAGTTCAACAGCAAAAACCAACAGAATCAATTTTTTCAGTTTCATATATAACTCGGGAGAATTCAAGAAATACCAAAAAATTTCCATCAATATTTTCAATTAGATTTTTTAAAAAATTGTTGAGTAAGCAGTTTTGAAGGTCATTAAATTTCAAATAACAAGGTGTAAATTTAAAGTCCATAAAAATTACCGTTGATTTTTGAGATTTTTTTTTTAGAGGGTGTTGCGCATTTTCTTCCATATAAAATAAACTTTGTTCATGCGTTATATGGAAGAAAACGCGAAACACGCTTAACAAACAAAATTCTCAAAAATTAACTGTAATTTTTAAAGACTTAAAAGTTGCGCCTTATTATATTGAAATTTAATAAGCTACAAAACTGCTTACTCAAAATTTCTCTAAGAAATCGAATTGAAAAGATGAAAATTTTGATGGAAATTTTTTGGTATTTATTGAATTTTCCCGAGTTCTATATGAAATTGAAAGAATCGGTTCTACTGGTTTTTGCTGTAGAATGAATTATGTTTTTATAACAATATAAAAGAAAAGTGGTATGAAATTTGGCCATATATTAAATATATATTGTCAAGGACACTGGAAAAAACTACTGATATGCCAAATCACCTAATAAATGAAAAGAAAGTTTCTGTAGATGTTTTAACTCTTAAGACTATATTTCCTTCCTCTACAAAATCTTAGTCCAATTAAAAGGCCATTTAAACAAAAAGTTTTCCTCAACAACGGAAACGTTATTTCTTCCATTCCATGTATTTCACAATTAAAGAATGGTGTCTAAAAGTAATGCAATATATATACAAAATATTTGGCCGTTCTCAAGTCAACAAATTAAATTAAATTTGACCACATTTTATTCGATAGGGCAGTAGTGACAGAATAACACACTCTGTTTATTTTATTTGTATGTGTGTATGTTTATATTTAGTATACAGTGTTTGCACAGCGCACATGTGAATGAAAATAAAAAGGAAATGAATAAAACCGCAATGTTTTAAGTCTCCACACAATATTTAAAAAAGAATAACAACGGATACAAGACAGACAGTTGGATACATCCGGTGCGGTGCCTCCTTCCCAGCAATCGCTCGGGTATATCCTTGTCGGTGGTACTCCTTTGTGGCCCTTTCATTCGCAATGCCTAAGATTTAATGTTTTGTTTAATATTTTAAAGCTTTCCGCCAACGCCACCAATACCATCACCGCCTCCTCATTCACGCAACAAACCAAAATACAAAGGGAGCGCATGCAAACTGACCAGGGCATGGACTTCGAGAAAATTAATAGTGATAGATTTTACATACAAAAGATGGTAGAATTAAAAAAAAAAACTATATTAAATAGTTTTTATTCATATAGTTCGTGTAATT